CCAGCCTGGTCTACATAGTGAGTTCCAGGACAGCTGGGGCTACAGGGAGACCCTGTCTCAAAAAAAGACAAAAAAATGAAAGAAGAACAAAAAAAAAGAAAAGAAAAAGAAAAAAAATGATGGGGGGATATGGGAGGTGTTGGAAGGGAGGGAGTGGGCATGGATTTTATCAAAACACCTTATATGCATGTACGAAATTCTCAATAAAATTTTTAAAGGTTAAAAGAAAGAAACCAATTCCATCATTACCCTTAATAATTTACCCCCAAACCTGGAAATTGAAGGTCCCTGAATAACGTAAGAAGTTTCCATTGAACACATTTTTTATTGTCCTTGAAAGAAATGTCACCACACAGAAATGTAGCTAGCTAAGAAGTTGCATGGTTAAAACGAACCCAGAGCTCGAAGGCCACCCTCCCTCTCAAGTCTATACAGCCCCCAGTCATTCCCAGATACACTATTAACTAGTTCACAGGCTGCATCAGTAGAAACAAGTTTCAAGTGCTGTTGCAAAATAAATTTCTAGGTATCACCTGCATAATTTGTAGGAGAAAGAAGTTATCTTGGTGGCCCAGATGGATGCTGTCTTAGGGCTATCAGAAGTCTTTGGAATAAACGAAATTCAATAGTGGTATTATAAATATAAAGAATCATTGTATATTCAAGCACAAACAAAATGTATATGTAACCATGAGTGACCAGCTGATCAATTTTAAAACTGAGATTAAAATCATGTTCTAAAACATAAAGATCACAGAAGAGATTCAAAATCAGAGGGTCAAGACACTGAACTTCGAATTTCAATTTAGAGCTGATTTGTAAGCCGGAAAAAGAAATGTCAACAGAATTTCAAGTAAAGGAACAGGCCTCTGCAGCATAGATGGGCGTTAAGGTTTGACCTGGACTATGACAGGCACTGATTAAATAGCCAGCAAAGTAAAATACATCTATAGCTAAATCTCATGCAACAAGACCTGCCATTAACTAGGATTTGGCAAATGGAGAGGAGGAAAATCTGAAGAGGAACAGAATGAGTGAAAAGAAAAGCTGAGGAGGTGGAGGTCAGGGAGCCAAGCGCACCAAGTACACTCATCATGCCTGAAACACAACGGATTCAGATCACCATGCAAGGGTCTAACCTCTTGGTTGAAAAATGTGTTTTGCTGTATCGAAGGAGAAATTCACTAGGTAACAAAGCACTTAAAAGACTGTTTTTCTGGGATGCTCAGCCTTACCAGGCCCTTGTTGGGGAGAGAACTGTTTTTAAAGGATCCACCCAGAATTGGTGAGAAAAATGCTGACGGGGTGAAGCTAGAAATACAGGAGGTTGTTAGAGGAGAAACCAAAGACAGAGGCGTCTGTTGGGGTGGGGTCACAGGCGTCGCCTATTGGTGTGGGTTCACCGGCGTCTATTGGGGTGGGATCACCCGTCTATTGGGGTGGGATCACAGGCAGCATTGTCTCCCTGTGGCCAAAGACCAGCATGGATCCTGTGGACCTCAGAGGTGGTTCAGCTGCAGACTGCCACACACCATCTCAGGGCTCCACCTACCTCTGGGCAAAAGCGTGCCCTGTTCACACTGCTGGCAATGCAAGTGATTAGTGACCCGTAGGACTGAGTGTGATACAGAGATGACGGAAGAGCTTTGAAGACTAAATCCTCTCCTGTGATGAATCTGCCCTGTTTCTGTTATGGTTTTTTTTTTTTTTTTAATCTCAGATGCTTGAGAAAGCCAGGAGAGAAAAAGAGCTACTGCTGTCTTTGTTTATCAAAGACTTATTTGAAAGACACAGTTGAAAATTCCTTGTCTGATATCTAACTCAGGGTTTTCCAACTTCTGTGAGCCAGCTTGTCCTCACCTTGAAGACATGTGGGGAAGAGGTAGCAGGTGGGAAGGGTGGCCAACAGATAAAGATGTTCCTAGCTACACAGGGCTACACAGGGGTGACCTATAGAAGGGTGTGTGAGTGTGTATGTGTGTGTGTGTGTGTGTGTGTGTGTGTGTGTGTGCACATGCAATGGAACTATTCTCTTTAACTTTCCAAAACCAGAAGGTGGAGAAGTACGTAAGGCAGGTCAGGAAATGATCATGTACAAATGGATAGCAGAGTTTTGACACAAGATCTATGAATGGAGAAGTTATGGGGCGGGCACTGCTCTGGCCCAACATCCGCTACAATGGGGCACATTATAGATGTTTTGTGGACATATTCTTTTTTAAAGTATTTTATTTATTATTTTTATGTGTATGAGTGTATTGCCTGCATGTATGTGAGTGCACCTGTGTCATACAAGGCTGCAGAGGTCAGAAGAGGGCCTCAGATTCCCCTGGAGTTAAGGATAGTTCATAGCCACCTTGTGGGTGCTGGGAATTGAACCCAGGTCTTCTGCAAGAGCAGTCAGTGCTCTTAACCACTGAGCCGTCTCTCCAGCCAGGTGTGGACATATTCTTAGTTGATTATATGATGGTACTAAGAGAACTCTGAGAACAGACCCTAGATTTAATTTGATGCCCTCTTATGCCTCAAATCAGCACCTCACAGACAACCTCATTCAAATCAGAGCCAACATGATATAACTTCATCTAAATCAGGAGGGGTCAAGGGAGCACAGCATGCATTGACTTAATAGAGCAAGCAGGAAAAATAGCTCTGATTTCTTAAGTTAGGCAATAAGTCCATGGGCTCTTGTAATAATCACACAGCACATACTAAATGCAGCAAAGATCACGTGAGAACAGGGAAAGCTGGGAGGTGGTTGTGAGTACAGGGAAAGCTGGGAGGTGGTTGTGAGAACAGGGAAAGCTGGGAGATGGTTCCACATCAGGCCCGGTCCTTCTGGCAATGCTGATGCTCATCCTACCACCTCCTCCAGTGATTTCTGCCTACTCTTCCTCCTCTTAGAGGATCCCTCAGAAGAGTCCTACAACTTCTTCCTAAACAGCCATTTGGATAAGTGTAGCTATCCAGAATGCATAAAAATACTAGAGAAGAGAGCAAGCGGATTTTATAATTGCTAAAGAAATTAATAGAACAAAATTAATAAATACAAATGGGACAATAATTGATGTGAACATTGGCTTAAAAATCTAATGTTTAACCAAGTAAGTTCACTCTCTTAAGGATTAGATGCCTCAGTTTCCTCTACTTACACATTCATTTCCTGCAAATTCTCGGCTGCAAAATAAAAGGTCTTGATCTGTGGGTGATTGATCTTAAATGCACTAGAAAAAGGAAAAGCACAAACATTCAGAGTTAGTGTTTTAACAGTAACTGACACATTAAATACTTATTATCTAGTAGGGAAGTGAAGGTCAATCTATCACGTCAGTAGCATCTAAGGTAGTTAATAGTTTGCATTTAAAATACAGAGGTGAATCGTTTTCACTTGCTAACTCTGTAACTATGTAGAGACAATAAATTAAAATTTAGAATCACTGAGATGTCACTTCAAAATAGTTAGACTAGCTTGTTTAAGTCAGTATTTATATAAATGTAATCAAATACATAGCAGAGTTCTATCTGTAGGAAAACAGTCAGTGTAGAACTTCTGTGATGTGTAACTCATCAGAAGCCATATCTAAGTACATATACCCTGTACTAGTAAAAGAAAAGTCTAAAGTAAATCTTAGTTAAAGGAAACTTAGGAAGCATTGATGTTGGCAAATAGTGTTTCTACTTAGCAGTCACACCGGAAGTTCTGCAGGACAGGGCAGAGGTTTTTAAATTACCAATCAAAAGCCACAAGCATCATCCTAACCAATATAGGGCAGGACACAAGCTGCTCTACCAGAAAAGCAAAGAATGAAATCTAATACCACTTTATCAGTTTCTTACATGAAAACAATTCATTGTTGCAGCTAGCAACATAGGTCAGTAAGGAAAGGCTTTCTGGGAAACTGGAGAAGGCATTGAAGGTAAGAAAGAATAAGAAGCAGATGAAAGAGGACATAAAAGCAAAGAATAGCAGGATGATCTCATAGGAGAAGCTCATGACTGGGTCCTGAGCCCAGAGTGCAGACTCTCCTCTCCCAGGGACTCTGGGCTGCTCCCAGACCCTGCAGGCTCTGTCCTTCTCAGCAGAACAGGAACCATGAGCTGGACACTGCTTTGTTTCCATCACAGCAGAAATCCTTGGAATGTAACCTATAGCAGGTGCAATGCCACACCTAAGACATCAGAGAATTCAGTAGCCAAGTTGATAGAGTACCATGAACTAAGATGCACTGGTCTTGTTTTAGGGCCTACAACTCATCTGGTGAGTCCTGCTTAGCTGTTTGTCCTTTACAAAGTCAGAATCTTGACATCCAGCTCCCTTGCCTTCCTGAATGGGAACATGTATTTTACTCTAACTGACACTGTCATTAACAATAGCCCATGCCAAGACTTCAGGAGTTTAAAACCCTTCCACCTCACATGTTGACATGCCAGAAAATAAGAGATTAAGTATTTTAATGAGCATTTACAGGGCCAACTCACAATGCTCAAAATTCTCAGACATCTGAGGGTCACAATCACTCACTTCCAAATCGCCCCATCACTTGGTGAACATGATAGCTGTGATCTTGTCCCAGGGCTTTGTGTAGGGTAAGGGGTGACTTACTGTTTTTTCTTGCACTCAGATGCTCTTTCCACCGTGAAATCAGGCAGGTTGACAAATCCGTCAGCTTTCTCTGCCTAAAACAAACACAGCACACAATAGTAAATGTGTTGATTCTGGGGATTGTCATCAGAGCATGAAATACAGCAGGTATAAATAAATGATGGTAAGTCCAGGAATATCACTGAGCCAGCATTAACCAGCCATGGATGTATCTCAGATACATAGTTTATGGGAAAACTTAATACTCTAAAGTCAACCAGAATCTTTTCATAAGAAGTAACATGAAACAGCTTAGGGATGGTCAGTGTAAAGCAGGTCCTATGTCTGCTCCTACCCACTTCCTGTCATCAGCATCCTCACTTCCTGTTGAGCTCAGAGGCATCCTCAGCATCTTATTCTTCCCCTACAACTGAGGTGAGCCACAAGCACTGGAGATGAAAACTCATCTTGAGATGGTGAACAGACACCCGACCTTGGAGGGGGAAGCCCACAGTGCTATCAAAGATCTACATCTTACTGGCTATTAGGAATTCAATGGGTCCAGATAATCAAAAGCACTTAATAGTTTAACACTCAACAGATTATTTCTTTCCCCTAGTCTATGGGCAGCAGCAGCATTTGAAGAATTAAACTAGAGCCATATCCTATAAAATCTCAGTTGCATAACTGATTCCTTTGGAGAAAAGACCCCAGGAAAGAATGACACTATGAAGGGCATAGAATGCCCATTGCTTGAAATCATCAAAAGCTTCACGGCAAATATAGTTAAGACCCCACCTGTCTATGAAGTGATTGATCTATATTTTATGAATAATGTCTATATGACCCACAAAAAAGCTAAGGCATTCGTCATAAGAGGAACTCAAATCTCCTTTCATCCACACTGGTGTCTCTGAGTAAAGAAACACAATTAAAAGACAAAATGAAAATAAGTTGGCAGTTATTAGGAGATGAATAAATTTTTATCTTGAGAACATGATCTTAATGTTCAGGTCTATTAGATATTAAATTTGTTGAGGCTAGAGAGATGGCTCAGCAGTTAAGAACATTGAGTGTTCTTACAGAAGACCCAGGTTCAAATCCCAGCATCCACATGGAAGCTAAAAACTATCCATGACTCCAGTTCCAGGAGATCTGACAGCCCCTTCTGACCTCTGTGGGCATTGCACAACATGGGTGCACTTACCTACATGAAGGTAATACACGCATACACATAAAATAAAATTAATAAATAAAATATTTTAAATTTGTTCCAGGGATCTCTAAACTGACTTCATTATTCCAGCTCTCTCATATCACTAATGAGAGAGCAACTTTACTTTTCTTCATCCAATCTCATTCCTAACCTCTGTCTCCTACATGACTTGGTTTATCCTATTATGCACCTGTAATGCTTTCTTCATTTCAAAGCAAAACTCAGTTCTAGTGGGAACTTCTCACTTTAAAATATACACACGTGTATATGCTAAATGCACATATAGATAACCAATCCTATCTTACAAAGAACATAAAGTATTCAAGGAATATGGACTGTATAATCAACTTTTATAGAATACAGTTTCCTGCATTCTCAAATTCTCTAAATTCTCAATTAGAATGACAAGAAAGTATAGTTTCAGAAAACCGTTAGATTCCATCAACTCCACTGCTAGAAATATACTCAGAATAATAAAAAACACACACTCAAATAAAGACACACACCATCATCCCAGAAGTCGGCAGGATGCAACAACCAAAATGTCCATCAACAGATGAGGAATAAACACAATTACATACCCTTACAAAAGAACATTATATATCCATAAACCATGAAACATTGGCTTATGTCATATGGATGAAGCTTGAAAACATGCTAAGTGAAGGATTTTAGTCACAAAAGGTCATAAATTATTTGACTCTACTTGTATGAATTATCCAGATAGGCTCTATCATACATACCGTCAGCTTCCTCCTCGCACTCATCTCTATGCCTGTTGTTCTAGAATCACTGTGGATGTTCTGAACCCTAAAACCTCCAGCTTGCTAAGTCCCATCTACCTTTTCTTATCCGTACTTAGTTGAACTCTAGTAACTGTAAGAGTCCACTCCCTTTTCTGGATGCTCTCCTCTCTTGGGTTTTCTGACATGCATTACTACTGCTCATTTTCACTCTTTCATGGGGTCTTCACCTCCCATTTCTGAATATCAGGGCTCCTAGGAGCTCAGTACACAGGCCTAGTAGGTGACCAGACCCTGTGGCTTCACATATCTTCACTACACACATATATCCAACATCTACACCTTGAAATGGTATTCAACTCTGGAGCTCCTAGCCCAGATTTATAATGATCTAGTGTGTTTATTCACATGTGTGTACCATGGACTCCCTAAGAATGACAAATCTAAACTCAAGTTCACCATATTACCCTATAGCATGCCTGCTCCTCTTTCTTCTGTGTTTTTCCTTCAGTGGACGGTAAGACACACACACACACACACACACACACACACACACACACACACATACACACACACACACACACCCCATGAGAGAGAGCAGGGGGTAATACACACACACACACACACACACACACACACACACACACACATACACACACACACACACCCCATGAGAGAGAGCAGGGGGTAACATTACCAACTTTTCCATCCCAGCTATGGTTAGGTCATCCTCTGTCACCCTCAAAACTGATGTTGAGGTTTAGCCCCCAATGTGGAGATATTGAGACCTTTAAAGGTTAAGTCTAACTGGGGAGATGGCTCATTGGGCAAAAGCACAACCTGAGTTCAAATCCACAGCACCCACATAAAAGTCCACCCACATGGCCATGTGCTCACTTGTAACCCAGAGCTGTGGGGAGGAGAGACAGGAGGATCCCTGGGGCTTTCTGGCCACCAGCCTACCTTTAGGTTCAGTGAGAGATTCTGTCTCAAGGAAATAGGCAGAGAGTGATAGAGCAGGACAACTGTGACCCTCCTCTGACCCCTGAGCACACATGAAAACAGGCATCCACACACATATGCATACACCACACATCCTTGTGCACACATACACACACAGAGTAAATGAATTATTGAATGACAGATAATAAACATTAAATGAGTTACTAAGAATTAATGCTTTTCTCAAGGAGTGAATTCTCATTTTCTGGGTCTGGTTTGGATGCTATACAAGTAGGTTGTTTTAAAAGAAGACACTCCACATGCCAGGATCTTTTTCACACACAACAATCACCCTCTATGTGTCTCCCCCATGTGAAAAGCAGTGCATGGTCCTTACCAGATGTGAAGCCAGCACCAGCTCCGAAGCCAGCACCAGCTCCAGCCTCCAGATATGAGTTAAATAAGCATTCTTTCTCTTTTGTTTATGAATCACCCAGCCTCTGGTACTTTGTAATAGAAGATGAACTAAGATAATCCCCTTCTCAGAATTCATGCAGGTAAACCCAGAGCTGTATTATTACAACTGCCAGGGGTGTATCTATTCTTACCACTTCCTGCCCAGCAGCATTACTTTATGTTCTTGAATTACTGCTGAAGTCTCCTAAACCAGGCTCCTTCTTTCTCTCTCTTCTTCAACCCAGCAGAGCATGCAAATAACAGTCACAGCAGATCTGTATTCATGAACATGCTTCATGTCACTTCTCTAATTAAAACCCTATGTGGTTCCCAATTGCTCTTGGATAAAGCCTAAGTGCCTCAGCAGAAAGCCCTTTATGATCAAGCCCTAATTAATTCCACAATTTTATCTTTCTAAATATCCCTGTCCTCTACTCAAACAAAAACAAACAGAAAAATTAAAACAAAGAAAACAATGTTTCCATTGAGCTAAATTAGAACTGACACCCAATTTGTGTCATGATTAGTCTCTGAACAATTTATTTACAATACCATAAGGTCATCTCAAATGATGGTAAGACAAAAATCAATCAAAAATGAAACATACAGGGGCTGGAGAGGTGTCTCGGTTGGCAAAGTGCTTGCCACACAAGCATGATGATCAGAATTTGATTCCCAGTACGCGTGTAAAAAGCTGAGCATGGTGAAACACATCTATAATCCCAGTACTGGAAAGGTGGAGGCAGGCAGATTCCTACCACTTGCTGGATAGCCTCTCTAACCCAATCAAGGAGCTTCAGGTTCAGTGAGAGAGCTTGTCTCACAAAGTAAGTTGGAGAGCAATTGAGAAAAATACCCAACATCAATCTCTGGTCCCACATACATGTACACATATGTGCACATACACCTTCATATACACAAACACATGTAAGTGAAACATGTATGTGCTTCTACTAATAGATGTTTTCATTTAAAAATAAATTAATGGTGCTGGTGAGGTGGCTCAGCAGGCAAAGACACTTGCCACCAAGCCTGGTTAGCTGAGTTCATACAACAGGAGAAAACTGATTCCCACATGTTGTCCTCACTTCCACATGTTCACTGTGGCATGTCCTCCACATGAGAAGTAAATGTGATTTTAACATGAATGTAAAAGATAAACTGCAAATCTTCATTTGGATGGGTTCCTTTCTTCATAACTGAAAAGGCTGGAATTCTTTGGAACAGGGTTCCAAATAAATTTGAGTGAAGCCACAGTGTTTCCGTAGCAATTATTCCTTCTCTATACAGAGACACTTTGTCACTTTTTGGAAGTCATCTGTGCTGCAAAGTCACAGGCAACTGTATCAAAAATGGCCTTTGCTTATTTAACTTGCAAAAGTGCTTCAAAAATGAAAATCACAATGGCCAAGTTATCACGGAATGACCATTTCCTTCTCGTCCTCCTTGTCCTACCCTTTCAGGTTCCTTGCTGCCTGTTCCACTAACTAAAATAACTGGCTTGAAGGGCATCCTTCCCCTTTAGTGATTCCTAACTTTCTAAAAAGTCATTTTACAGTTATGTGCTGGGACCTGTATATTTCCTCAGATTCTTAACAAAATAAAAAAGTGTTCTCTTACCAAAAGTATCAAAGGATCCTTTGACCGCTGTGCAAACTTACCTTACCAAGTTTAGTCATAAATTGAGAAGCATGGTACTTGTTCATCTTGTCATAGAATGTCCTATGAAATGTCCTGT